CACAAGAGAAATCTACTTCACATGCTATAAAGAGTTTACCAATATCTCTCACTCATGAACACAGTGGCTTCAGTCCCCCTCTGAGAGTTTAATCTGCATGTCATCTGATGCAAGAAACAGCAACCTCATGTCATGCTCCCGAAAGTCCCTCCGCATCCCTCCTGCAGGAAGCTCCCTCCAGTCTGGAAGGAACAAACATAAACATTGATTTTAAGGCAAGACACCACAGGTGAAAAGGGTACAAATTTGACTTTCAACTAACAGACATCATCCCAGTTGATTAATCACAGTACATTAAGACAAGTTTTCAGAAATGTTACATTTAAATGAGGCATATGAGGAATTTTGTAATTAAATATGCACTTGCATACATTTCCAGAAGAGAAAACGAAGCACTGTTTAAAGCCAAGTTCAAATTTTTCATTTTATTTTGTTGACATATTAAAGGTTTTCTTATATTATTTTATCACTTCATAAATAAAACAAATACTGTGAACAGACAGAAAAGATACATTTTACATATATGCTTATTTTTAAGAATATTATATAAATCAGTGGAGCTGAAGTGGCGATTTCTGGCTTACTATGAAAACAAATGAGAAAAAGGCTCTAAAAGATATGTATTGTAACTCTAATCCACAGATGCAAATAGATAAAGTGTTATGAAAGCAAAATAGCCCAAAAATCTAAAAAACTGACCAATTTTGCCTGTGTCTTGCCTAAAAAGGCATATTGACTATTCAATATAATTTATGGAGAAAATAAAGATTTCATTTAGGGTTGGAGCATTTTAAAATAAAATAAAATAAAATAAAAAAATAAAGGAGAAAATAAAGATTTCATTTAGGGTTGGAGCATTTTAAAATAATAAAATAAAATAAAATAAAATAAAATAAAATAAAATTAAATTAAATTAAATTAAATAAAATTAAATAAAATTAAAAGTCTGGCTATTATGTCTCTTTTTTCTGATTTTATGTCAATTAATATAATTAAATTTAACTAAACATCTAATAATAGGTGAGAAAGTTAAATAGTTATACAGATTCATAATCATATTAAGACTCTCATATCACTATATTAATTTCTCAGTTCTTCAAAGCTTCATTATTTGCATCAAAGTAAAGAATACGTTTTTCTTTGTAGAACATTAAAATGTTCTCCTCTTGTACTAAAGTGTGCACTGTAAAGGTTCAAATTCTAAAAAATACTTTATTGGCGTTAATGGTTCCATTAAGAGCATTTAACATCCATGGAACCTTTTCATTACACAAAAGGTTCTCTATAGTCAAAAAAAGATTCTTTAGATTATTTAAAGGGTCTTCATACTAAGAAAAATATTGTTATTTTAAGAACTGCTCACTGAAAGTTTCTTTGAGGAACCCAGAATGGTTCTTCCCTTTTGGAACCTTTATTTTTAAGAGTGTAAAACCTTTTTAAGTTAACTGGAACCTTTATGTAAAGTCAAGTGTGTAATAAATTTATAGCAGTTAATATAATTACTACTCCACATAACTGCGTCTCATATCGAATAAAGGAAAGTCTGGAAAGTGTCAAGTGTCAACTTTTTTTCCCTGAAACTTCTCACTTCTGCTTTTGACAATATCAGCGGCCTGAAGTTTTTGTACATGTGGTGAATCTCTCGGATTCAGAAATAGCCTCTCTGGTCAGCGTTCATGTTTAGGCGATTCTTCAGGCGATGTTTTTTTAGTGTCTGGCTTATCGCGTTCAGCACAGCAGCAGACCTTGAGTTCCCATCAGCCCATTCTGAGAAAAAAAAACCCACCTGCGCATTCAGGGTTAAGGTAACAAGCAACGTTTCACCTTTATGTAAATAAGCTTAAATATAATGCTTATAACATTTAGATTCATAAATAAAATGTTCCTGATAAAGGCCTACCGTAGGCTTGATGCTCTTTATATCTTCAGTACTGCTTCTGCACCCGTAACATACAAAAAGAAGAGTGAAGATGATAGTCTTTCCCTTTTTCATCAGGATATTGCATGTATAGAATGTCATATATTTCAGAGTAATTTATAATCAAGCACTAGTTCTTAGAAATCAGAACATGTGATTGGATGTGGGCTATTTTTCAAAAAGCTTTCCATTGCCTTAACTAAGAGTTCTCCAGAGCGCAATGCTTGTCTCTAAGGCAACGAAGCAAAGCTTTATCAGTTTTAAAAGGCAGCAACTACTGCCTCTATTTGCACCACTTTCAAAACACACAAAAAAGGCAATGCAGTCGCCGGGTCTCTTACCTCAGTGCTCTCAAACCCTGACCCATTCCTCCAGATCTATAAATCTTTCTTGTTGTGTAGTTTAATTTTTGTGCAAAATAATCATTCTTAATATACATATTTTTGTGAATGACACTACAAATATGCACCGCTTTAATGATCTTGTCATGCAAGTAGGCCCATTTCACTCAAACCCACCAAAACAAAAACATTTTTAGCATTCTAGCAAGCTCATTCCTTAAGTTATTAGTTAAAGAATAAGAAATACTACAGCATGAAGTTATTGCTTTAGACACATAAAAGGACGATTAGGACGATTCTAAGGGCCAGACGCACTTTTGGGGCCCCCTGTTTTATTAGTAGTAACAGTAGTAGTAGTAATGTAATATAAATTATAAATGTATCTACCAAAGAGTTACAAATAAAACAAAATTACGGCTTATTTCTGCATTTCCAGCAAAATTTTCTCCCCCATTCACTTCATGGTTTCGTCCCGTCCTACGTAGCCTAGAGTCATGAGTGAGATCAGATGGTAAACTGTCAAATTAGAGATGTCTTCGAGTTCGAGGGGGGCAAACGCACTTTTAAACCCCCCTTCTAATGAACAGGTTTGACTACTTTAGTAATTTCTATTTTTTAGTAAATAAAAAAGCATATAATGCTATTCTAGAGAATTGTGTGCTTCTAATTTTATACCAATAGTTTGAACAGGACCATTTTCTATTCTAACACGACAATGCCTCTGTGTATAAGGCAAGGTTTTAAAAAAAGACTGATCTTTAGAACAGAAAAAGGCACTTCCAAAACTGTGGCATCAAAGATGGAAACATAATTCATGTATTTAAAATTTGTATTTCCATCTTTGTTGCCACAGTTTGGGCATGATTGTACGCATATGTACAAGTCATTGGTGTTTGGCGATGAGTTTTTTTGAGTTTTATAGTTTTTTGGGCAATATAGTGTATGTTTGGTGCGGTAGGGGGCCCAACCTCATATTCTTTCATAGGGCCCAAAATTGATAGCGGCGCCCCTGGCAGATTCTGAAAGGGGGATGTAAACTTTTGACCTCAACTGTATGTAAAACTGACATCTTACAGACAGATGTTTGTACACAGCAGATGCTTTCCAGATCAAGCGATCTTTAACAGACATCTTGAAAACGTACGTGTGCTGTCTGGGTTTAGATAAAAGCGACTGCTAAATAAAGAAATGTAGCCTATAACTTTTAAAATATAAAAGTTAAAAACTGTAAAGATACATAATAAGAAGACTAATAAAAAATAAAACTATATTTTGTCCCCAAATTTGGTTATGCTTGAGGCACACGCAGAATGTTTCATGAAAAATTTAATTAGTGCACTACACCTGTTCCATGCACTGAACAACAAAACATGGATAGGCATGTGCATTCCTTTGGAGAAAAGTTCTCAAGAGCCAAATATAAGTGCAGGACGAGCAAGCTGCTGCATTGCTTGGGCGAATAAATCCAAATAAAAACTCCATTGTTGCATGAAAAAAGTTTTTAATCTGGGGATTTAAAGTGGATCACATGCTCTGACTGAACAACAGCGGCACGAGAGCACGCGCATTCCACAGCAGCCTCTCAAGCATCGTTTGTTTTCCTTGTCAAGAAACCCGCAAACAGAAAACATAGTGGGAAGATATCGAGGAAAAGTGGAAAAACATCATTTTTGATGGACTTTCGCAGATTTGGCGGTTTGTTTACATAGTAAATCGGGCATTTATTCACTGTCGGACATGACGCATTCCTACAGTCAGCGTTCTCTCGTGGTACTCGCGTTTTTAGGGATTTTGTCCGCAATAATGTCCGTATTGTCCGTCATTTTGATCTTCCAGCTCCAAACGCAACAGGCTGTTATAAAGGATTCGTCTACTTTAGGGTCGAGTGAGATCACAGCTGTGTTAATGGCTGTTTCCACGGTCCTCTCAGCCTTGTCTCTGACACTCAACTTGAGCTCAGTTGTTGTGTGTTTGCTTCACAGCTATTTCGCTACTGAAATATGCCGTGGTGAAGAACCAGATACACAAAGGTAATGGAGACACGTATGTAGACACTTTATCATAGAATTAGATACAGAATCTTAAACCAAATTTGAAAGAATGATACAAGCACACTTTTCGAGCAAAACATTCCCCCAAAAGAGTTTAAGTGATAAAACAGTTGTAAAGCCCTTCATACAAAAATCATATGGACAGTTTTTGGTTGTTGAACGTTACTGGAACATATAGTAAATGTGATGAATCACACCTGTGAGAACTTGAGGAGAATTTCTTTATTCATCAACTAAAAATAACATTGAAAGTCACTGAGAGAAACAAAAAATTGAGAGAAAAAGAGTTAGCTCTGTGAAAATGCTATAGCTCAAATATCCAAATATTTTTTGGGGCCCACACTGTATATCAAAGGTAAATGACATTTAATGGACTTTTGAATTTCATATTGACCTCCAGAACAACTTTCTCAGATATAACCCAGGTTTGAACATTTTAAAATGTCTAATAATTCAAAGAACCACATTCTAGCAGGTCTTTGAAATCAGTCTATTTGTTTTGCAAATTGAGGCCCTGCTACTCGTCCATGCAACAAGAAATGATCTGTTTTTGCTTCTATCCTAGGGCCGACTGGTTTTTATTGGATAACAGGGTTGTTCGGCATGTGACCATTGGACTGTTTTGCCTTGGAGTTTCAGTTTACTTAGCTGGTAAGTGCTACACAAAAACCACATGGAAGTCATGTCATGAATTATACTTAAAAACTTTAATCTTTAAATTCAGCATATACACATTTACAGAACAGTTACATTTACCTTATTACAACAAATGAAGAATTAATGTGCAAAATGTGAACAAATTGTAACCAGAACACCTAAAGCAGCTTATAAATATCATATGTCAATACCAAAAAATGTAATGGGAAGCCCATTTCTGCCTCAGAATAAAGAAAAAAAGTGGCAATCATGACTTTATATCTTGCAATTGTGACTTTTAATTTATCTCTCATAATGTTACATTTCGCAATGCAATATTAAATCTCGCAACGCCGATATTTTCCTTTGCAGTTGCAACTTTATATATTCTATTTGTGACATTGTATCTCATAATGTGACTTTAAATGTTGCAGTGTGACATTAAACTTCACAATTACAACTTTTTTTTTGCTAATTGAGACATTACATTTTTATAATTGTGTATTTAAATTTTATAATGTAACTTCATCACTTCAATGTTACATTAAATCTGGCAAATGCAATATTTTCTTTGCAGTTGCAACTTTATATTTCCCAACTGTGACTTTCATCTCACAATTTGACTTTAAACCTTGCAAATTGTGACTTTATATTGCATAATGTGACATTAAGTCTAGCAACTGCAATATATTCCTGGAGTTGCAACTCCTAATTGTGACTTTGATCTCACTATATGTATTTATTTCTTATTTTAAACTCAGAATTACCTTTTTTATTTTGTAACTCGGATTTGACAATGGGCTTCAATATTTTAGAGTAGTAATCATCATTAATATTAAGTGGTGGCAACAAGTGAATATGGAATATTCAGATCTATTTTATCCAGATCTTCATCAGTTTATATCCCAGAGCTGTGCTTTTCCCCTCCATCCTTTAGCATGCCAGGATCCAAAGCTCTTTTCCTGTGGAAAACAACAGTACATTAGTTTATATTCATCTTTCAGATGACACATCATGGAGTGATTTGACATACATTTCATTTTTCCCCTCACAGCCATGTGTATTTACATGTTATTGGTGTTTGAAGTTGAGACGGGCATAGCCAGCGTGTGCGTGCTTTCCTCCGGTGTTCTCGTCCTGCTACTTATCGTTATTCACTCCCTAATACGGGCAGCACATACAGCCAAACACTTCCACAATGAACATGCCCACACCATGTACCACAGCAACCCTGAAAACATCGCTGGAATCCGTACGTCGAACCTAAGCATTGTGGAAAAGCCACAGAGGCAGCACAGTTTAGCCAACCTGCACAGCCATTTCATCAACCCCGCTCACATCGATCCTAACTCACAGTACTGGGCATCTATCGGCCCTCGCAGCGATAAGGACGGCTACAGTGGCGGTGGGAGTGGACGGACGCACCGGACACTTTCGACAGAGTCCAGCCTGTTTCAGGCACAGGCCAAACCCTGGACCGGGGTCAACAGTGAGATGAGATCTGTACTTGCTAGAAAAGCCACGATCAAGGATTCAACTTTAGTATGAATGGTATCACATCTAGTCTGATGTTAAGATGGGCATTAAATAATACAATATGTACTGTCATTTATATATGTGACCCTGGACCACAAAACCAGTCTTAAGTCGCCGGGGTATATTTGTAGCAATAGCCAAAAAAACATTGTATGGGTCAAAATTATTGATTTTTCTTCCAAAAATCATTGGGATATTAAGTAAATCCATGAAGATATTTTGTAAATGTCCTACCGTAAATATATCAAAACTTCATTTTTGATTAGTAATATGCATTGCTAAGAACTTCATTTGGACAACTTTAAAGGCGATTTTCTCAATATTTTGATTTTTTTTGCTCCCTCAGATTCCAGATTTTCAAATAGTTGTACCTCGACCAAATATTGTCCTATCCTAACAAACCATACATCAATGGAAAGCTTATTTATTCAGCTTTTAGATAATGTATAAATCTCAATTTCGAAAAAATGGACCCTTATGACTGGTTTTGTGGTCCATGGTCACATATACATACACACACACATACATACAGTATATACACATAGACACTGGTGGAATAATTAAGATTTTTGTTTTGTTTTTGAAATAAGTCTCTTATGTTCTGTAAGCCTGCATTTATTTGATGAAAACATTTAAAACATTAATATTGTGTAATATTATTACAGTTTAAATAATTGCTTTCTGAAGGATCATGTGACACTGAAGACAAATTCAGCTTTGCATCACAGGAATAAATTACATTTTAAAATACATTAAAATAAGAAAATAGTTATTTAAAATTGTAATAATATTTCACAATGTACTGCTTTTTCATCAGATTATTGCATCTTAAATTATTTATGTGACATTTAAAGCAAAATATGTAAAAATGTATTTTTCATACACCTAATATCAACTTACAGGTGTTAGAAATCACACTAATTGTTAAAATGTGAAATTACTACTGAAATACTTGAGAATTTGTGTAGCTGTAGGATAGTGTATTGTTCTCTTTTTTTTACTAGAAAGACATATTTTGGAACAGAACAATACAACTATAAAAGTTAAGAAAAATAGCATAATTGAATAACTTATGGGAGAAGCTGATCTGAATCGGTATTTAACATTTCTGTCATAATAAAACTGAAATACTATGAAATGATGTTGTTTTTTTTATGAAATTTTGTACATAAACTATCAAATTACCACTAACACGGCATGCGTAAATTAGAAAAAAAACAAACAAAAATGAAGTAAAACTAACCTTGGAGAAAGACTTCCATGAGTCAAGGTGGTGTGACTGAAGTGTGTGTGGGTGTATCATTTGGATTAATTGCAGGTTTCACAGCACTGAAGTGACATGTATGTTTAAAAACAGAAAAAGTGAGCAAATTAAAAGTGAAGCAAACAAGCAAAGAAAAATTACAGGAGGTCAATGCCACATTCACATTTAACAGTGAAGTGATATATAAAACTAAAACGAAATAAATAAATAATAATAACGTAAATGAATGTAATTGCATTAAAATGGATAGTGACTACAACCTTCGACCCTGTGAGCTGCTGATCTGTTCCTTCAGTGAAATGGCTTGCCGGAGCAGACCGTCTATATTCTTGAAATAGAGACTACTATTCGTCATGCTTTTAACCGCACTGAAAGACACACACACACACACATAAAGTACATTAAATAAGGTACTACATAATATATATGTATATAATATATAAAATATATATCTTACCTGCATGCATATTCAACAGTGTAGATTGCTCCTTGACTTTGCTCCTCCCAACTCTGCATGTCTGTCTACAAATTCACAATTCATCACGGCACTTCAGTCAACTTGCTAATATAATAACAATAAATATATATTTTTGTTTATAATGCACTTTTCTCATAGCCAAAGTGCTACAAAAATAAAAGAAAATACAATAAATAACAATGATAAAGCTAAATAAATACATATCTGCATATCAGTCTACAAATTCATAATTACAACACTTAGGTCAACTTGATAATAAAATTATATTATAATACATTTGATTTATTATGCAAGTTTCGCAAACCCAAAGTGCTACAAAAACACAAAGATAATACATTAAAATAAAACAAAATAAATACACAACACCTGCATGTCTGTCTACAATAAATGAGTACAACACTTAAGTCAGCTTGCTAAAGTAATACTAATTATACATTTTATTTATAATGTGCTTTATCATACCCAATGCACTACAAATAGGCTAAATTAAAACACAATATAAGACAATAATATATAATATTTAACATAAGACAATAAATAACAACAATAAAACATGACAAAACATAGAACAGAATATAACAAACATACCCTATTAAAAAGCTTAAGTTAAACTAATAAGTGTAGGATATTTTGAAAAGATGGGTTTTTAACAGTTGCTTGTTGTAGCAGGAAATAATAAATCAGTAATAATTACACAGTATGGCATTGTTTTCCAGCAAAAAAATAATATTTTATAATTTACTATTACACTGAACACAATTATAAACGCAACACTTTTGTTTTTGCCCCCATTTTTCATGAGCTGAACTCAAAGATCTAAGACTTTTTCTATGTACACAAAAAGCCTATTTCTCTCAAATATTGTTCACAAATCTGTCTAAATCTGTGTTAGTGAGCACTTCTCCTTTGCCGAGATAATCCATCCACCTCACAGGTGCGGCATATCAAGATGCTGATTAGACAGCACACTCTAACTGATTTTTGTAATTTGAGCAAAGGAGAAGTGCTCACTAACACAGATTTAGACAGATTTGTGAACAATATTTGAGAGAAATAGGCCTTTTGTGTACATAGAAAAAGTCTTAGATCTTTGAGTTCAGCTCATGAAAAATGGGGGCAAAAACAAAAGTGTTGCGTTTTATAATTTTGTTCAGTGTATAATTTCTAATGTAAAGTGAGATTCTTAAGTGAAACCTGTGAGATTCTAATATGGCAGGTCAAATGTTAATCATTCAGGCAAATATCTTTAAAAATAACCAAATTACAGTGTTTAGGCAAATGTATTGTCTGTATTACTGTAATACAGGCTAGGCAACAAATAAAACACATTAAAATAAGGCAACTTACCTTGTGTTGCACGAGCTCTGGTAGGGATCTCCTGACGTGCTCTTGTAACCTATAAAGCGCTATCGACGGTTCATTGGCCAAAACATACATACTCTCTGTGAATTTATCAGTCACTGTAGCAGAAATAAACAAAACATATAATCAGTATCTCTTCATCAGGTTCGTATTAAATTATGTGTCATCTCAAATCAGACCATTGACACGCTTAAATAAGGCGTCTAATAATCAATTCAGTATTGTAAATTAGATGTTAAAGTTAATGTAAACACAAGTACACCGAGTCGTCGATTATAAAACATGAATCAATAGACATCAAAACTCTGAATCTATCCATGGTACCTCTTTTTACTTTCAACTGCATTTCTTGATCCTCCATTTTTATTAAATATTATCGTATGATATAAATTTCCTTCTGTATTATCAAATCGCAGCTGTGTTTCCCTTACAAGTGTGCTCCCAAAACATCATTTCAACTGCATTTCTTGATCCTCCATTTTTATTAAATATTATCGTATGATATAAATTTCCTTCTGTATTATCAAATCGCAGCTGTTTCCCTTACAAGTGTGCTCCCAAAACATCACCCGGAGTAACATCAGGCCAATAACTAGTTCCTAGCCACTAGTTCTGGAGATTGTGATCATCTAGGTGAATCGAATCATTTGAATCGTTTCATCATTTAGTGGCCTTTTCTGCAGATGTTTACCTGTTTTTATACAGTCTATGATGTTTACGCAGGTAGGTGACAGCGAGCGAGTCATGAACGAAGCCGAGCCGTTCATGACTTAAAAAAGTCTTACTGAAATCGTAAACTTGTTTTATTTTTTAAAGTCTACTAAGAAATCACAGAAAAGTATATAAGCACCGGAGCATTACGTTTTCTCCACAAAATACATAATTTAATTTAATTTAATAATAATAAAAAAAGACATCAAATAAGATCATATTTTTTTCACCCAAATATTTCATTATCTAGAAAGCTGATGGGCTGTTATGAACCATGGGAAAAGTTCAACAAACATCAACAAACATGAATAATTAAAGGTAGACAGACAGACAGACAGATAAGTTACACCTACTCAATGAAGGGGGCGTATTGATCAGTAGATCCAACCAATGAAATACTCCTTCCCAGCTCGCACTCAAATGCTATTGGCTCCGTCTATAGTCAGTCTTCGAAGGCAGTAAGCAGTCACGCGCCTCAAAGAGTCAGTACATGAAAGTGAACTAAAACGATTCCCAAAAGATTCATCCAACCCCTCCGATTCGTTCACGAAACCCATTTCAAGCTATTGTCCCAACTCTAATTGTTAAAAAAGATGCGATTAATTTTGCAGCCAGATATATATTATGAGAAAAGTAGCCTACTGTTTCATATATCATTCAATAGACTTTGAATGTGCGCGAGTTCAATGCACTTGCAAGACTTCTATTTCAGTTTCACTTTTGCAACCGAATCAGGAAACAAAAGCAGCATATACGATCACACGAACCTGTGAAGTTTAAGATCATGTAAACAATCGAAGGTAATATTCTCCTAAGTCATATTTTGTTATTTTATATTAGTATTATTAACTAATTATGCATAATAATGGGCGCTAATCTTGTTTATTAGTTATTTATTTATATTTTCTATATTGCGTACATTTAAAGCAGGTGTAATGATAAGCGATTATGGAAAACCGAAATGATGAAAATGCAGTAAACCATTCGACCACTCTGACAAATAAACAGCGGGGGAATGAGGTCACAGTCCGACCCGCCACTTTAGACAGTGAGTCTGCCACCTCCTTCTATAGATATAGGCAGATTTCAAATGCAGGCATTTAATAGTCTTTTTAAATGTAATTATGGCATTTAATTATGTCTTGTAGACCTCTCAATTCATCAGCTGGCAGCCCATGGAGAGATTTCACAACTGGAATTACATTTATCCAAAGGTATCAATAAATATACACTTGCTAAAATAAATAAATAAATAAGGGCATCCAGCGCATGCATGCATAAACAAACAAATGAATGAATGAATGAATAAATATGTATGTATATATATATATGGGTAATCTTGCAGACAGTTCTCTACTTAAAAGTCAAGATGAGCGAGGTTTCACACCACTAATGTGGGCTGCTGCATTTGGAGAGATAATGATGGTGGAGTTCCTCCTTCAGAAGGTGAGAAAGACACATTTTTGTAGCCACTAAGTCTAAACTACATATATATATATATATATATATATATAAACTG